CCGGCCGTCAATCTCACCCCCTCTCTCTATTTCACTCACGGTTCTCTTTTCCTTAGTCACTCTTTCCGGCTCTCTACTTCCAAAGACCCTGGCTTTTTCTTCCAGTTTTTATCTCCTCAAAACCATCAAACCCCAGCTCTCTCTCTCGGTTGTTCCTACTTTCTTTTTGTTTTTGCAGATTTGCGGCCGTCACTCTTTTTTAATTTTCCAGCCGTCAGTCAATGCTTTCTTTCCTCAACACCCCCCCAAACTTCCTCTGCTCTCTCCCTTCTCAGATTGCATCCTCACCTTAGCTCTCTATTCGTCCCACTCTCCCCAACTCCCTTGCGGCTGCCTTTCTTTTTCTATTTATATGAGAGCCAAACCAACCCTAAACCCCCAGCCGCTTCTTCTGTATTTGCAGCCAAGGGCTGCCCGAAGCCCTTCCTTGCAAGCTGCGAAAAACGCAGCTTGCAAGTCACGTATCAATTTTTTTTTTAAAACTTAAATAACAAAATTGAAAATAATAAAAATTAAAAACAAAATAATTTAATTAACATTAGAAACAACAAAATGCAAATCCAATTTTCCTTTTTTTCATTTTCCATTTTCATCGTTTTTCTTGTTTTTCTCTTTTTTCCTTTTTTTTCTTCTTTTTTTTTTCAAAATAACCTAAATAATGAAACTAAATCCAAAACAACTAAAACATATTTTTTTTTTGAACACTTTTTTTCCTTTGAGAAATTCTACGCTAAAATGGCTAAAATAACTAAAACTAAAACTAATTGTGACAAATAAAAATAGAACAAATAAAAAATGAATAGTAAATAAATAAATAATAGAACACCAAAAATTTGGTGTCTACAACCTCCATGATAGCTTGTACACTCCGCTCATCTGCTTTAGCAAAGAACAAACTGTCATCCGCAAATAGGAGATGAGAGATTGAAAAATCTCCCCTCCCCAATTTGATGCCACTCCATAAGCCCTGTCTCTCTCCATTTTCCGAATAAGGGACGAAAGTCCTTCTACACACAGAATAAAAAGGTAAGGCGAGAGAGGATCGGCTTGACGCAATCCTCTCCTCGGCTCAAAAAACTCAGTGTGACCACCATTAATAACAATAGAGTAAGAAACTGAGCGTACACACTCCATAATTAAGTTGCACCATTTTTGGGGAAAACCTGTAGCGTATAACATATATTCCAGAAACTTCCACTCAACATGATTATACGCTTTGCTCATGTCAAGTTTTAAAGCCAAAAAACTCTCATGCCGTTCGCTTCTAAGCTTCAACCAATGAAACATCTCAATAGCAGTCATCACATTATCTGTAATTCAACGTCCTTTAATAAAAACACTTTGATTATCACTGATAATGAGTGGCATCACATTTTTCAATCGATTAGTCATGGTTTTTGTGATCAATTTATATGCTACATTACACAGACTAATGGGCCGATAGTCAGATATCGTAGAAGGACTTTTAATTTTAGGGATTAACACAATATGAGTCCGATTCAATTTACCGGGGCTTGTGTGACGGCCCCACCTCTCCCTAGGGCGTACCCCAGGGTTCGGCGGGTCGCCTGCCCAACTTTCGCCGGGACTCAGTCGTTCACTACAGTTCTCAATTAAAATCGAAATAAATCACAAGAGTAAATAGGGCAGCGATCCAAACTTAAAACGAAACTTATATACATTGCTATCCCATAAGGGAGTATAAAGATCGAATATACAAAGGTTCTCAATCCTTTATACGTCTAGCCCGTGCCAAGCACTAGGGCGAGAACCATTAAAAAAAAACAAAAGAACTAAACTAGGCTAGTCTATGCTCTCATTCTGCTCGCCGTCCCCTGTTAAGGAAAATAAAACTAAAGGGGTGAACTGAAAACTCAGTGAGGTTCCGAACACATAGTCAGATAGTCAATTCAATACGTTAAACATGGAGTATCAATAATTCAAGAAATTTTTACAATGGAAAGCGATAGTAACACATTCATTAAAAAGACACGGGCTCACATGGAGCTATTCGTTCGTTCGTTGGTGCCCCTGACATTTCCCCTTATTCCTCCAATTATTTGAAAATTTCCTTTTTGAGAAGTAAAACCCTCATGCCTTCGTTCGTTCATTCATCCCCTTCCGGACGTTGACCGGACTCCACCCATCGGAACGTTGGCCGGACTCCACCCATCCGGACGTGGCCGGACTACAAGGTAATACTCGAGTATACCGAATTCACCCAGGGTCACCATATCACCCGATCGAGTCCGCTTCTGGCTCGAGTCGATCGGTAACGAAGGGCAGGGTCCAATTCAGCCAAAAGGCTTACATCATGCGCAACTAATGTTTCAATCGTTAAATAATTGAAGACTTCACATTTCATTTAGGTCGAGCGTGATAAAGTACACGCTCGCCTAGAAAATTCGTTTTGAAAATCATTGAAAACACTTAACACATCATCAAACACTAACAACAAGTCATGAAGTCATGGAGAATATAACAAACAAGAAACACTCACCTATGTACGCAAAACAACGGGTAAAATATCCTTTCGGATATTATCCCCGGTCACCGAGAAAACCTAAATTAAACGAGAAAGAATATTACAGATCATCTAGCACAACAATTAGGTGCAATCAAAGAAACTCGACAATTATTGAGTAGAACGTACAAAAAGACTTTAAAGTGAAACGAGAACATTTGGACCCGTGGACAAAAATAACTAGGGTTTCATAGACCAAACGTAAGTATACCAATTCAAATAGAAACTTAGTCCTCGAGCGAAAATTTGGGCAGCATGCCCTTTGTATTTTCCTATTTCCCAACCATTTATGGCTTCATTATTTTTCCTTAACCAATCCCAAAGTCATACATATCATAGATTCAAGTAAATAGCCGTTCCATAGACTCATAACGACATAAGAACAAAAATCAAAGTGATAACAAGTGCGGAAATGTAACCTAGCAAAAGACAGATTTGATGTGTGGTTGCGGAAAGAACACATCTGAGGATACGCTTATCGGATTGAGACGCAACGTATACCGTTTCGAAACTCAGACACAGGGCTACAATGTTCATGAAGATCACTTAGTCCAATTTCCAGTGTAACCTAATCAAATTCCCAATTCACATAACCTAATTCCAACCAATTGGCTATTTAACCATACTGCATTCAAATGGCCATATCTCAGCCTACCAAGGTCCGTTTAAGGTGTTCTTGGCGGCATTGAAAAGTTAAGACAGAGTACTAAAACTTTCATGTTTTAGTAAATGGCTAAATCCAAACGGATCATAGTGAATAAACATGATAAGCGGGATGAACTGACTAAAATGGAACACTGGAAACATCCTAAAACAGTGAGGGTAGTTTGGTCCTTTCACAGGCTATGTTACTCTGATTGAGCTGGAATTTTGTAGACAACTATAAAATACTATTCTCTACAACTTTCATGTTTTAGGCCAAGCCTAATTCAGCCTCTAACTATGAGTACTAAAACCGGGCAGAATGTAAACATAAAATTCCAGAAATCTGGAGTTTTTGGGATTTCATGACAATCTATTTATTTTCTTGTTTCCAACACTACCAAAGCCCCTTATATAACCTTATATACAACATATACTAACTATACAACAAGTTTAGGCAGAAATTTATTAAACCCTAACTTGCATATATCATCCAAAATCATCACAACAACTTGCATATCTTGTAATCAAGCCAAAACATGAACTAGATAACATCTTAAACCAAAATTTACAAGAACAAGAACCATGATCAGATCTTATACCTCAAAGACAAAGCTTGGAAGAGTGATACTCCACCTCCTTTGGAAAATTTTAGTTCCCCTAGCTTCCCAACTCACAACTCACTCTTTAATCGGTTTAGAATTTTGATTCCTCACTTGGATAGTGCAAATCAAGAAGGAAATGGTTTTCTCTTGCTCTCCCTTTCTCTCTCTCTTTTCTCGGCCAAGGAGCAGAAAAAAATGAAGAAGAAAGGCTGCTCTTATGGTGTTAAGAAGACAAGAGGATTAGGATTAATCTTAACCACAAGCTTGCCAACACTTGGCACCTTCAACACCACATAAAATTTTCTTTTCTTTCCTTGCATTTTGGCCCCAAAATTTCGGCCAAGAGATGACCATGAGGGGGGGAATATTTTGCTCAATTAGTAATGAGCTTGTATGGTAAGAAAGTGGTGATCAAGTGGTGGTTAAATCGGTAGTACACGGTACACGTCGATTCGCGCCGTTCTTCTTAAAAACACACGTACTAGGGTTTTTTCTTCCCAATCACTAACTTTTTATCATTGCTCCTAATCACATATTATTTCTCACCTAAAAGTCACTTTTAATCACCAAATTTGATCCTTACTTCGTACCAAAAAATCATCCGGCGAAAAATCGCAAAAACCCTAATTTGCTCCAATCTTGAAAACGAAGAGTGAAACCCTACTTTCTAGGTTCATTTGCACTTATTGGGAAATGATTGGGTAGTAGGGCTATAATAAATGAATAATTTCTAAATAAAAAGGCATTTTTTTAAGGAAAATATAAGAAATTTGCGAGTTCTCACAGCTTTCACCTTCATTAAGGACTGAGAGCGCCATGTCCTTCACCTCCTTCCCAATTATCTCCCAAAATCGCTAGTAAAAACCAGCATGAAGTCTATTGGGTCCTGGCGCTTTCCATGGATGCATTTGGCCCAAAGCATTAAAAATCTCCTGTTCCGAAAAATCCTGCATAAGCCCCAACTTCACCTAATCATCCAATCTTTGATCGATAACATCAGCAAATAACTCCACTTCCGCCCCCTCTGAAGCGAAAAGTTTTTTATAAAACCCCGCAATATGTTGTTCAATTTGGCCATCTGTACTGATCCATTCACCATTTTCCAGCTGAAGGCTCTCAATAGCATTCCTCCTTCTTCGCTGACTAGCTTTGTGATGAAAATAAGAAGTATTACGGTCCCCTTCCTTTATCCAAGAAACTCTTGACCTTTGCTTCCAATAAATTTCTTCCTACTCCAAAAGTGAGTCAAGCTCTTTCCGAATATGGATATCGTCTGCTATCTGACTACAGGAGTGAAATTGAATGGCTTGAAGCTTGTCCGACAGCTTCCTAATTTTTGCCTTCAAATTTCCAAACTTCCTTCTTCCCCACGAGTTTAAAGCATATAAAGCCTTTTGTGAGCATGAGGCCAATGAAGTAACTGGATCCCCTACCCCAACCCCATGCCAATTTTCAGATAATATTTTCTCGCATTCCTCGTCACTTATCCATATCTGCTCAATTTTGTAGGACTGCCTCCTCCGCCTCTTATCATTGGAAGGTTTTGAACTACACTTAATAGCTATGCGAATTGGAGCATGGTCCGACCAAGAAGAAGAGAGATGACTAACAGTAGCCGCTGGAAAGAGGGAGCACCATTCAGGTGAAGCCACAGCCCTATCCAACCGTTCACAAATACGATGATTAGGATTCCTACCTCTTGCCCATGTATAACTGGAGCCTTTGAAGCCCAAATCATACAAGTTGGCCTCATTGAGTGCATCCCGAAAGGCTGCCATCTGAGACTAACTTCTATCCTTACCTCCGCATTTTTCCTCCACAACAGAATTTCATTGAAATCTCCTGCGCATAACCACGGCATTGAGAACAAACTAGCTAATCGTTTCAATAGCTGCCATGAGTGCTTCCTTTGGCTTAGTTTTGGGTGTCCATAAAACCCAGTAAATCTCCAGTGCTGCCCTATCCCACTGTCTTGAATCACAGCATCGATATGACCGCAAGAATAGCTCATGATGGAAAGCTGCACGTCATCTCTCCATAATAAAGCTAGACCCCCCCTCGATTCTGGCAGTCAACATAAAAGCCATTGGCAAAGTCAATTCGTCTCTTAAGAGCTTCAATTTCTTCTCTCAAGAGTTTCGTTTCCAAAAGAAAAATAATCCCGGGATCTTGTTCCCCCAATATGTTATTGAGGGCTCGAATTGCACGGGGGTTCCCAAGCCCCCGGCAATTCCAGACCAAGGCGATTGTCGCGCCCCATTTTTGATAAATAAATAAATGGTTTAAAAAATGTATTTTTTGTGATTGGAAAATGAATTGTGATTTAAAAGAAAAAATGGGTCTAAATGGGGGGTTGAGAATGCGACGATTAGACCCAAAATTATAGTTTAAAAAGGGTTTTTGAAATAAAAATTGGAGTCGCCACTTGGTAATGAGTTAAGGTGTACCAAGTCACCAAAAAATGAATTTTTAAAGAAAAAATAGGAAAAAGTAGTAAGAAACCCCTTTTAAACGACTCCTAGTCCACGTAAACCAAAGAAAAAGGTTCGGGAGTCACATTTGACAAAGGGGAAGGCAAGGATAAAATCCAAGGCACCCCTTTGATCTAGCCAAGACTAGTTGCATGATTTAATCAAAGATTTTCTTGTTTTAACCAAAGAATTTATTACATTTGGATGCACTACATGAATGCAAACCCTAGACCTAGGGGTATTGGGGAAAATTTCTCTTCAAAGGTTGAGTGGTGCCAATCACATTAATTGTGAAGCCCAATAACGATCCTTTGAAGAAGTCACGAATAATGCGAGTGGGATGCAAATGAATGGAATGCATGTATGCAATGTGAGGACATGAGTTTGAAAAAGTAATAAAAGACAATAAATATGTAAATGAAAATGTGCACGTGAGTGGGCAAGGTACGGTATGTGAAATGATAATATGAAGTGCATGTGTGCAAGTGATGATAAAAATGTTCGTGTGCAAGTGAAAAAACATAAAGGTGCACGTGTGCAAAATGAGAGGAAAAATGAAAGTGTGATGAGGGTATAAAATGGTAGAGTGGATTTAAAAATACATGAGCCTAGGGAATTCATGCATATTGGGTACGGGGAGATCCAAATCGTGACTCAATTTGCCATTTTATAGAGGGAATACAAGCGTGCTAAGGCTTAGAAAAAGCCACACTCGTCTATATCCCATATTTAAGGGGACTCTCAAGCAAATGAACCTTGTAACTAGCATGAAATGCAAAAATCCTAAAATGGAGGGAAAAGGGGTTCGAGGGGCATGCAAAATGATAAACTAAGAAAAAATGCATGACATGTAATGAACACGCAAATATGTACTAACGAGGGGAAATCCCTAAGGGTCTAGCATTGGACTAGCCCATTCTATGAATTCCTACTAGCGTTGGACTAGCGGAAACGAACATTCATCTGTCCCATTCATTCATGGCTATGGAAAGCGAGTAGACATGCCAAACACTCATAAACACATAGCACATAACATTTAGCATGCTCGACTAGATGCAAGGCCCTAACAAAGCAAATTAACACGTAGCAACTAAACATGCAAGACACATAAGACAATTAAAGCCCTAACTATTACATTTGCTAGCTAGGCACATGAATTCGATAGGTCTTTATCAAATGCTCCTCCAAGCCCTATCTATTACATTAGGGAGACCCTACTACAATCTAAAAAGGGGGAAAAGGAATAAAATAATTAAATCCCTAGCTATTACAAGCCAAGAGGTGTACACATACCCCATAAAGAATAATTTAAATAAAAAGCAACAGTAAATGACAAAAATAAAAGAAATTAAAGAAAGGCTAGGAAAGCAAAGTAGACATGTATTTCTCACGTAGCACGTTGGTTCACATAGGAGAGACAAAAAAGATAAAAGAAGTTATACCTCCCTTGAGTTGGAGCTCTAATGGGGTGAAGTACTTATTTACCCTCCAAAATAATAAAAGAGTCAAGGCATCACTTTATTTATCAAATAATCATAAAAATAAAATGGCAAACTTGAAATTGAATCAATTGAATCATGTAAGCAACCCACATTCAAGAAGTCAAAAGAAGAAAGGACTTGATTGCACAAATTAACAAAGTTTGGAGGTCCAAATTAAAGAAAAATAAAGTTCAGGGACCTATTTGCAATTAATTTAAGGGCCCAATTGACAGCATTGAAAGTTTTTAGGGTCATAGTGAAATTAAAGAAAAGTACAGGGACTGATTTGCAAATTTAGTTACCAGATTCTTAGTCAGACAGGCCATTGGGCCTTTGTATTTATTTATTTGGGCCAAAACCTTCCCTAACCCAATCGAAACCCAAGCCAAAACAGATGGGTTAGCCTAATTGTTCTTACGAGTTGGACCCAATTAAATTAATCACAAACCCAATCCCAAAAACCCAATCAAAAGTGTTGGGCTCTATCTTCCTAGGCCCAAATCAGAATCCCAACAAAATAAACTAAAACCACCTCCTTAAACTCAAGCAAAAGGTCCAAACCAAGTCTAATTTTATTTAATAAAGCCCAACAAAATAAAAACCCAACTAAAACTCTGATTATGCATCAAATCCCAGCATTAATCTATCCAGAAAATCACATAAAATATGCAAACAGAGGATTAAGCTTAAGAGGGCAAAATTAGTTTGGTTTTTCCAGATTTTGAGCCACAATGAAATTAGACTGAAATTGAGGGATTAAATTGCAATTCTTTTGGAAAACCCAAGCAAGCTTACGAAGAACAGGTTTCTTCCTCATTACCAATGTTTTCACAATTTTATTGCTGCAACTTGCTCTCTTATTCTACCGGGTAGATTGAATGCAAAACCCAAGCAAAATTCACTAGGTTATCAATCTAAGACCAACAAAGTTTCAAACCAGTCAAATAACATCATCCAAGCATGATCATCTATCCCAGGAGAATACAATCACAGCAGCTAGACATAAATGCAGCGAAGGTACAGGAGGAGGAAACTTAGGATGAACGTGCACATGGCATATCAATTGGACAGCAAATCATAGATTTACATCAAACTAAAAGCTTTAACAACAAAGCCAGAAAAAGACTCTTTACAGGTTTAACACTCTCATGCAGCAATTTCCCGAATAAAAATGACCCTTTATACATCTTTAGCCTCCAAAACCAACCGTACGCTATGCATTCCCCAGCAATCTTCTACCCAGACCAGCACAAGGGAGATCAAAAGAACAGTTTTTTAACTTATTCATATGCAATTTTGGGTTGCTAATGCCACCCTCCGATGACTTACCAAGGCACAAAAAAATCACAGCTTCAGACATCAGTCTACAAGCATTTAAAACAAGATCCTGCGGTCTAGTAAACCAAGATTCTTGTGCGAACCAGCATAGCCACATCAGACAACAGAGAGAATCAAAGCATTATTTGAACAAACCCATCTCTCGCTACCATGAAGAATCGACTATCAGGTTTTGAGCTTGCTGCCCATTTGTTTTCCTCACACCGACACAGACAAATCGTCATTCAAGGGGAATTTTCAGCTGGGCATTTTGTCGAACAACGCATGAGCAGAAAAAAGGTCATTGATTCTCTACTTGATGGAAGCTATAACCGACCCCAAAAATTTTTAGCATAAACAATCAAAACAATTTCAATTCCAATCAGATACATAACGCATGTGTATTCTAAACATCCATGAGCAATCTACATGAAAATTGAAACAACAACTCACGAAAGACATGTTTTGAGAGAAGGCTGAAATGTGAAGGAAACGGATGACTTACAGTGGTCTCCCACGGTGAAGATTCGCAGATGGCAGTGGTGGATTCCGACAGAATGGTGGAAGCTCCGGCTGCTCTGTTTTTCCCAAATTCGTCTTTCACTTTGCCGAAACTTCCTTCCTCTGGTTCTTTTGCCTCTGCCCGAAACTCTTCCTTGCCTCCTTGTTTTCCTGGCTTTTCTTTCCTGCCTAGCCTCACGAAGCTCCCTAGCTTTCCCTTGCTTTCTTTTGGTTTCCTCTCCTCCAGCGCGCACTCGCTTGGTTTTTCTTTTTTCCAGTCGTAAGCCTCCCCAGTTTTTAGTCGAAAACTATTTCCCCAATTTTCAGATTTTTGCCCCTGTTCTGTTCTATCTCTCTCAGTCTCTCTCGTTTTGCCCCCAAATTTCACCTTCCCCAAATTCCAGATTTCCCTTGCTGTCGATCTTCCAAACCTCCATCCGCCGCCGTCCTGAATTTTCCTCCCTTTTTCTGTCCTGTTTTCATTTCTGATTTTTTCTATCCCACGAAGCCCTCTCGGCCTTTTCTCTAGCTTTTCCATTTTTCCCATTTTCCTTCGATGATGCTCCCTTTTGCTTTCTGCTATTGTTTTTCTTCGTTTCTGCCTGCTGAAGCTCCCTTTCCCAATTTCTCTCGGCCCCTTTTTCTGTTTTTCTATTCCTCCCCCTCAAGCTCGCCGTAGCTTTTTCCTTTTTGTTTCTGATCTCTCTCTGTCGACCCCAGTTTTTTTTTTTGCGGCTGATGTTTTTTATTCTATTTATATGGGGCATTCCACCCTAAAACCCCCAGCCACTTCCTCTGAAATTGCAGCCAAAGGGCTGCCAAGTCCTTCTTTGCAAGCTGCGACAATACGTGGCTTGCAGGCGCGGATCACTCTTTTTTTTTTTACTCACTTAATTTAAATCACAATAAAAACCAAAATAATTCAAACAAACTTAAACATAAATAAAATGTACAAAATTAATAACCAAAAGATAAAATAAAAAGCTAAGATTTTCCTCTTTTCTTTTT